AAATTATATTTTGATTCTAGCATGTCAGTGTTTCATTCAATTCCTATCATTCTACCAACTATTTAGCAAACTGCTGCCTCTAAAATCAAGTCACGTTTTGCCACCCAAATTGCTGTGACTATAAACTGTATGGTGTTTTTTTTTTTACTGTAGTATTTTGGAAGTGACAGCTATAAATACCCTCCCTTTTGAAGCAGGCTGTAGTAAATATGGCGGCACTGGAATTTAAAATCCATGAAAGCTCATCTGTTTTGTGAAATACTATTCTAATTTTGAATTTTCTACATGATTGTACAGTTTTTGTACAGGATGTGTACTGTGACTATGTCAGGTAAACGGAAAGTAGTTTTTAGGAAAAAGAAATGCAATGCCAAATGAGAACTAGGGAGAAAAGAACTCATCAAGAAGGCAACAGATAAACTATTACTGTGGAGAATCCTGCCTGCTATTATTCTAAAATAAGATTCATTTACCACAATGGAGAGATAATAAGATTGATACAGATAAAAAATTATACTCTCTAGACTGCCAGAAGCTAAGGTACAGGGCAGGCAGTCCAACCAAAATACACTGTGTAGATTCAAACTGCTTGACAGCTGGAAGGGACAGCAAGGTGTCTGTTGCATATCCCACTATAATTAAAAAGCCTTTGAAAAAGCTGTATGGACAATCCCTATGCAACACAGTTCAGCGCTCCTTGACATAACTCAAAGCATCAAACTCAAGCCTGCCAGAGAAATGCTCGTGACCAGTACCCAGGAATCTATGAATGGAATGCACAGTGCTGCCTCTTCTGAAAAATGAAATGCAGAGGGGAGACAGCAGTGCTAGGAGATAGCATAGCAGTACAGGTCAGACAAAGGTAGTGCTCTCGGTGGATTATCCTGCAGACCTGTGATGCTGCAAAAGGCTGACAGGTGAGAGGGGAGAGCAGATTCGGGGAGGAAGGGTGGGAAAGAAGCATGGAGCAGAGGGGACCTGGCAGTGCTGCCTTCCCCATGGCAGCTGTAAGGGTGATGCACCTTACTCATCATCTTTTGCCCCCGGTAACTCCCAGGGAAGAGATGAAATATCATAGTCAGTATGAGTTTGCTCTGGAGTTCAGGGGAAGCAGTAGTTCACTCCATAGGATTCTGCATGTATGGCATCCCACAGAAGGAGAACTAGTGTTTTTAATACTGGTCTCTGGGGGCTGTTAGAAGAGAAAGAAACAATTAATGACCAGAACGCTGCTGATAGATGCTAATGCTTTGTAGTAAAAATTAACAAGGATCATGACAACCCACAGTACAAAAAGCCCCTCCAGAATTAGAAGTCCTGTACAAAATTGGAATTCCCATTGAGAAGAGATGAACCCGATCATAAACTTGACTGTAGTCAGGTTTCCTGCCTTGTTTTGATACTGTACACATCAACAAATACAGTGGATTATCCCCAATCCTCTATATTTTCTTGCATTTTACTAGAAATCAGAAATTAGTTGTGGAACACTAGACTTAGTTAGCTAGACAGAAATGAGAAAGTGCCAAGTGTTTTTTCTACTGTGGCAATAATGAATTGAAGGAATCAGTAACTATCCCTTGATAAATGAACTTTTCTGTTTCTTATTAGCAAGCGTTAGCTGTATCAGGATATAACCAGGGAGTGGGCACTATTTCATCCTGCTACCCTTCACCCTTCACTAGTGTTATGACATAATTTGCAATGATATCATGGCTTACTTATCAAACTAAAGGAAAACTGACATCATAACATACAGCACAGTGAAAGAAGACCTGTACTGTTAGTCCATTTATACAAATAGTAAAAAGACTGTTTCTTTTGTTCAGTCTGCTTATATTTCTAAAACGTTGGCTATAATTTCTCTACTATTATTTCAGATATAAGATTATTTTGCTTAAAAGTTAGCCAAGGAATATTTCTATGTCTGTTGGGAATAATCTTTCTATTTTACAAGGTCAAGATCTAACTGTAATACAGAATGGGTCCTGAGCTTAGGGTTTCTTTTGAACTCTCTAAAAGTAATTTTCCTAATACAACGAAGAATACTAACAATATACAACACAAAGAAGGACAAGGCAGCTTCAGGCTAAAACTTAATGCTTGCTGATACTCTTCAGCAGTCACAGGTACTCAAACGCTGTACTGGTACTGGGAGAAGCTACAGGTAGTATTTGTCTTCTCTGACAAACAGACTAAAAATGCATTTTCTTGCATTTGTGAGAGCATGTTCCTGAGTATAGAGATCTCCAGACTTACTAAAATCCCTTTCAAATGCTATGATGTAAATATGTCTTTGTCTAAACTCTGACAGTAATTTGAAAAAAAACTTACTGTTTCAGAATGAAGATTTATCAGAAAACAGAAGATCTGGTGAGGTTTCAAAAATTGTTGGTCTTCTACATTTTAATGATAAGATTGTATCAATGTTGTCATGAAGAAATGAAAGATAGACCTACCAAAGAACTGCTCATTAGACTTGTGTGGGAAGCAGAACAGGCAGTTTCAAGTCCCGGCTTTGAATGAGTAAATCCATGTACCCTAGGACTGACCGGTGTACATATCTGCCTTTCCCACTGTTGTTGTGACCAGTTGTTTCATGTTGGGGCTGAGAAACCTTCTAGCCACAAGTTTCACTAAAATCCATATTACGACTGAAAGGTCTTGTTGCATACAGCATGTTCCAAGCCTATCCTTTCCAATGCTGACTGGGTCTAGCGAGACCTACGGGGAATGTATTTCTTGAGTATGAACCTCTCTCATGGCCATTTGCTTCTCTGAGTGTAATCATGCTTTAAATATTCCACCTATGTACAGATGGCTTTGAAGGACTCCTAAAAATGCAATTGGATTATTTCAAGGGTAGCTGCAGGCAATACTATGCAAGATCATAATTAAAATGTGGTTTTATGGCACTTGCACAGTTATCATATGAGATTTAGTTTTAGCATTTTTACATTTCTACACATTCAGTTGAATGTATTTAATTCTCAACTATGTCTACAAGATAGATGTGAATTCATTTTTAAATTGTCACAAAATTATTTTTAAATTTTGTTAGGAGCATAATACTTTTAGTTTGATTGCACAATTAGTTTAATTGTACTAGATATAAAAGTCTTTAGAACATGAAGAGCACAGTAGTTTGATTCTGGACAATCTTAGGCAAAACGTGCCTTAGTTAACGTCAAATAGGTAGACCTGCATGCTCGACATTAGAGAAGACAGAGTGCCCAGCATATTTCTTTATTATTTGAATTTTTACTGAAACAGTAAACGAATTGGTCTATTTAGATCATCTGTAGCAGCAGCCATGTGATGTCATCTGGAAACCAATCAATGGCTCTCAATTAATTCCTTCATCACTTTCCAGTCCTACTGCCCTAAGTGAGACTTGAAAATCAATAGTCCTAGAACTACTGCCCACAGAGGCCATTAAAATACCTGCTTGGGTTTTTTTGGGGGGTTTTTTTTGTGGCCTTCTTGTAGCTTGAACTTCCTGTGTAAGGTTTCAGCCTCATATCTTTTTTATCTTTTCACTCACATGAAAAGTTTCCTGAAAGAAGCGAGTTTCCTCCAGGTAAGAATGGAGATGTTAACAGGTCTAAATTATTTTCAGGTGTTAGTCCTGGACTTGGATCCAACCTTATGATTTGAAGCCAAAACTTCAGACTGGAAAAATAAAAATCAAAGTATGGCTGCTTGAACTAAATCAGGACATAGTGTACAACATTCCTGGCTCAGTTTTGAATGTGGATCTAAAATCTAAAAATTAAACCCAATTCTAATAATTCTGAATATTTGTGTATTTTTTTTTTAACAGATAGAGTGTGTTTGGGGGGGGGGGGGGGAGGAGAATCAGAGCACTAATAGTTGTAAAACTGACCTCTTACCGTTCAAAAATAAAATAAATCTGCTGCTGTGAAACATGTACACATCTATATAAAGATAACAATCTACTTTGTGTACACCTAAATCTCAGCCCCAACTAAATACATTTTCATGAGTCTGGATTTGAAATGGTTCAAATTATGTTAATGAATTTTCAATTCCTAAGCTTGATTTGTGAAGTGACAAAACATGCAATCCTTTAAGCAGTTCTGTCCTGCATGTCAATCCATAGATGTATTTTATCACCCCCTATGAAACCTGATGTTGCTCCCTCGTGAAAAAACTTCTTTATAAAAGAGGTGTATACGTTACACATATCCAGATTGCTACAGCAACAAATCATCTGAAGTTGAAAAAGATTTCCGAACTCTTGTATTTATGTCTGTGTTCCATGTATAACGTGAGCCAGATAATACAGATATAGATGTGTGTTGATTAGGACTTACATTAATAAGGTATGCAGAGAAAGAGCTGTGCCTCCAACATACACCATTGGTATATTTTTCCTTGTTGTTTTAAATTAAATCAGTGATGAAATAATTTTAAAAAATGCCTTTTATTGCAGCTTTTATTTTTAATTCATTATTCCTTGTAACTACCAATTGTTTAAGGCTCACAAATAGAGCATTGAAAGATTTTCTTTTCATGAATGAAGTTCTGTCCAGCCTGCAAACAGGGACGTCATTTCAAGAAAATGCACAGAAGTGCAGGGGAAGATCAGGGACTGCAAATGAAAACAGAGCTTAAAAAAGGACAGCTTTGTTTACTTGACCAAAATAGAGAAGGTAGCAGAACTAGTTTTTACATTCAAACTGGAAGGAAATTTACTAGAAAAAGGTAAAATCTTTCTTCTGCTTAAGATCATAAAATCAGCTTCAGATACTTGTAAAAGATGTTTTTGTAAAGGCTTTTGATTATTAATAGTTCTACTGACTCATAAGAGCAACATAGCAATGCTTACTAAGGTAACCTCTCCTCTGGTACAATAACTTTCACCAATGATGTGCTTTTTCCTTAAAGGAAGGCGGAGTTAGGAGTTAGTGTCAGGGCCATAAATAAGAGGGTCCTATGTCAGGGAAATTAGAAGTCCGTTAACATAAGCGTATACTCAGAGCGAGCATTAGAGGGCTTTCCTAAACCATCCAAGTCGGTTGAAATTGAACTGCATGCGGAAGAAATCAGATAGCTATTAGGAAGTTTAGATATAAAACCAACAGTAAGAAAGCATTTTCTCTTGGCTGACCGATTAGCTGTGCTTAAGGCAACATGACTCCTGTACTGAATACCTTGTTGTTTTCAGTGCTTCTGCTTCTGACCCACAGAATTCAGGAGCTGGTGGAGGCGTGCAGCTGTGCCCCCGCTCATCCGCAGCAGCTCATCTGCGACTCGGCTTTAGGTGAGTCAGAACAGCTACGTGCTTTTAACTCGGGCGGTGGGAAATCAAATGGAGCTACTCGGACTGCTGTGAATTTTTTTTTCGTACAGCTGGAGAGGACTATGTTTAACCAGGTGGCTTAGTCTCTCGAAGGAGTGTAAACCAAAATGACTACAGAGATCCCTTTTAAAGAGAGGGCTATGGGGGGAAAAAAATGGTAGTAGCTGTTCTGCTTTTCTTGTTTTTCCAGAACATTTTGTGGTTACAAATTGTTGAAATTGCTGTATTATTTAGTGGCTTGCTTTTTTTTTTTTTTTAAATAGGAACAGTTTCTATATGAGGTCCTGACTTAGACTAAGCAGGGGAGAATACCTTAACTTTCAAACAGCTACTGTTAACAGTATCTGTAATAAAATATTCTATCTAAATATATCTGCTATGTGTAAACTATGCATAAAGATATTTTTTATAGCACTTTGGGGGAAAAAAAAGAAACACCACCCCCAAAATAAAAGTCCCTAGTGATAACATGTTGAAACACTTGATCTTTGTTCTGCTATACTACAATTTCTTCAGTTGGATGTTGGGTTTTTCTGTCATTTTCAAAAAATACTTGAGCAGGAAACTGATAGGCCCTTTATATTCTGCAGATGAACTTCTGTATAAATATAACTTTCCAGTCTTTAGGATAATTGTATTTCATGATATTCAGTCAGCACTGCCGTTGTCAAACAACTTATAGAAAGAAACTAAAGATCACAAAATTAGACTGCATGGGGATAAGAAAATGTGACATTTTGCAGTCTTTTGATTTCATTAGCTCAAGCTAAGGCTGGTTAGCTTCCATCTAGTGTGAACAGTAAATGTAGAACATGAGTTTCCAAAGTGTCACAAAATTAGCATCTCTATGGGGCAGGCAATACCTTCTGCATACTGATTAATTGCTTTTATACCCTGACAGAAAATCTTTGTAGCCATGACAAACTCTAAGCTCTGTTTGTGGCCATCAGTTAAATTGTTTTTTAATCTGCTTATGTTAAGCAATCTTTTTCATTAAGTTACCCACACTAGGCATTACAAACTTGGGGTTGCTTAAGGTGTGAAAGAAAATAGCTGTGCTACCAGGAGTTTAATTACATATGTATACATTTAACTGTATTAGTCTGCTGCATTCCTATACATAAGAAAGTGACAGTTTTTGAACAGACTTCATGTAGAGATTTTCCTAAATAAACAATTTCACAGTATAGAGAAAGCTCAAAATACTCATTATGAGCCATCTTCCTTAGGGAAGCCATACTGGCCATTATTACAATATATATTAAGATTTATTCCATTCTTAGATACATTTCACAAATGGCAGCTTTATGCTACTTTTTATTTGTATTTAAATACTGAAGATTGTAAAATAAAACTACTTTATATTTGGACTTGATGCTCAAGCTCCCACTTCTATAAATATTCCTATTTAAGTAAACTGCACCTTTTGGCTAGGGAATGTTTCTATCAAGGATCCCTTTGTTTAATCTTTATCATTTAAAAACAGCATTTCTCTATATTCTAAAATGATAGGAGGATGTAGATATTCCTTCACATAAATATGTTATACGTACTTTTATATACACTTTTGCATATAAGTATACATAAAACCTGCTCTAAGCTTTTATGGATTAATTATTTCATTTGCTTTGGCCACAGTATCTTGCATAAGCAGAGCAAAATTACTTTGAAGGAGCTGGAGAAGACCAGTGGAGTTGTCTGCCCTGTCTAAGAGAAAACTCCACTAACCACTTTGGCAAAGCCAGCTCCTCCATCCCCGCTGCCAGAAGTCTGGGTTTTTGTCCAGGCTGTGGGCTGGGGCTCCCCTGGGGAAGGGGCAGCAGGAGGCTGGAGCCCGGGACGCAGCCCCATCCCCTGGGAATGAGGGCTGTGCCCACAGCTCTGCTTTGTTTTAGGCAAGGCAGGTTTGAAGCCACACCTGTGTCCTCAGGGCCACCTGGTTCTCAGGAGGGATTGTAAAACCCAGGCCGTGCTAGCAAGTATCCCGTGCGGTAGCATACCTCAAACTTCTGTTAACATCACCATACTTAAAGATGGGGTTTTTTTCTAAGATTTAAGAAGATTAAAGATTAGATTGAAGATCTGTACTTCGATTTCAACATTTTCATACTTCCAAAATATTGATAAAAAAAGAAAGGGACAGCTCTTCAGCTAGCAAAACCTATGGGAGTTGAATGCTAATATAGCAATTTGCTGAGACTATTCAATTTTTTTCAGTTATTTTTCAGTTCATCCATCTATGTACCCACAAACACATTCAAGTATTTCCTTGAAGGATAAAACCCTAGCACATCTTATTAAAAAAAAAGAAACCATGCCGTGCCTCTGAATTCCACAGTAAAATGAAAACTGAGACTAAGTCTCAGTCTTGCTCATAGAGCTACCAACCATTATATGTACTTCAGCTACTCCATTATTTCTCAACTTCACTATATATCTGTAACATCTTAAATTTCCTTTAGGATCACTTGTGATTTGGGTGGAGTGAAAATGGAGGCGGAGGGGGTTGAGTCAATAGACATCACTTGAGCCGCTAACTGAACATGTGAAACCACTGAGAAACCTTAACATTTATATGGGATACCCAAGAAAAAAAAACAAGCAGAGAAACTAATTAAGTCTGGGACAAGTTCTTTTCACTTTTACTTTTGTTCACATGATTAGTGCTGTGACACTTTGTCTTTTACTGTCAGGAGGCTTTTGTGGCTTTACTCTTTCTAAATACCCACAGCTACCACACAACCTGAGTAACTGATAGAAATAACAGGCTTTCTGACAGACCTAGAGTAAAAGGGAGCTTCTGGTCCTGCAAGGTGCTGCCTAAAACTAAAATAAGGAATGAGTGAAGAGCCCTGCAGGTGTTACATGGTTGTACACCGCAGGAAGAACAGTAACGATGGGGAGTAAATCCTGAGTGCCGTGCCAGTCCTGCCTTTTATCTGACCTTGTGTTTGTCCATCTCCCTGCTTAGCCTTAAGAGGGTGTGATTTTGTACAAATTTCAGCAGTTTTCATGAACTTCTCAGTAGTTTTAAATTTTGCTTCAAAGAGAGATAAATCTTCATTTGTATGGAGTGCCTAGCACCATATAAAATCACTTACAAAAGGGAGATACATTCCTCTTGTGTTCTTCTAAATGGTGCTGAGGCCCTCCTAAAATGTGCTGAATGCCTTCAAACCCCAACGAACACCTATACCTCTCAAGAGGACTTTCACTGGGAACGGAGATGGGAGGTTTATTAAATAGCATTTTCATGCACTACACTGCTAATTATCAGTGCTAACCCCTCCATCCCCCAGAGGAATCTGGGAGGCTTTCTCCTTACAGACATGAAATGTGATGAGGATGTGCTGTTTAGCATTTCAAACTTGGTAGTGAGGCATCACAGTTTCAAGCTGATACAAGAAATTTCCTCTGAAAATGGCTTTTTTGGAGAGAACCATGGATGCAATTGAGTTTATCAGATAGTGTCAAGATAACAGATTTCCCTTTTGCCACTGACTTCAGTCTTACTGGATTCTATTCTAAACCAATGTTCACATCAAATTAGACAATCTGTAGAGAGAAATGCTATATGTGGAGAGGACCGATTGATCCCTTTCTAAAGTTCAATTCATGCTGGTTTTTTCCCCCTTAGGCATAAGCAAGGTTATTTTTTGGACAATAGGACAAATATGCAAGTACTTTGCATTTCTTAGCTACGTAACACCAGAACCCAACCTTTAAAGTTAGATGTATTCTTTCTGATTTAAACTTATTGGTTTTTTTCTTAAACATATATCGAAAATGATATTTTTACTGAATGCTGGGCACCATACTCCAACAGAAATGACTAACAGATCTTGAGTACAAATAAATACATAACGTAGCTGCAGAGAATAGTTCTATAGCTTTGGAGAAAAGTGGCACATTTCGAAATATGATGGAAGCTTTACAGCTGGAGCTTGGCAGCATTTTCAGCCTGTTAAAAACTCATAAGATCACTGAGATCAGGCATTGTAAAGATGTGCCAGATGATATATTAAATTTTAATCACATTTAAAAATAACAGTAAAAATTTTATTTAAATACACCAGAATTAAGTTTTCAAAGTCAGCTCCTCTGGGATAAAATTACAATATGTTATTTCTTTATTATTGAATTTCATATTAAAACTTTCATGGCTCAGTGTCCCACGATTTTGCCTCTTTGCAATATAATATCTAGTTTTGTACTGGAATGGATTAATTTGTACATTATTAGAGTGGGAAGTAACTTTGCCTGATCTGAAAAATCAGCATAGGAAAATGTATTAGAAATGTAGACAGTACTTATTCCAGCTTAGAGGAGAAAAGGTGAACAGCAAAATTAAAGTAGACTTTATATTTTATTCTTACTATATTACGTGATACGCACTCACCATATTCTTAATCTCATAGACTCTACTTGCTGTGCGCAGTGTGATTATGCAGATACCAATTATCCACATGTTTAGGTTGATGAGCACCTTCAGTGGGGGTTTTGACAAAATTAAGCAGCTATGTAATTACTCTTCATGTGTTTGGGAGTACAGTGTTCATACAAACAGTAATAACCATACCACGTAACGAAAGACCATTAAAGACAGAGATGCAACAGACCTTAGTGTTGTGTGAGGGTTTCAACAGAGTCCCATAAAAAGTCCCGAATCTTGAAGCGGTTGCTTGAGGGAACGGGCAAGACGGCCTGGCTGGAGAAGGCTGCTGCAGACCCTGGCAGGATCCTGGGTCTCAGGCCACGCTTTCGGACACCCCACTGACAGACACGGGGCCACACGGCTTACATCTTGGAGTGGCCTGCAGTCTTTTAGACTTCTCCTCCACAGCATGGAGAGATTATAAGTACTTGGCATATGATCTGCATTTATATTCTTGTCCTGCCAAACGGAGGCAGGTCTTACTGCTTCATAGCAATGGCCTTCCTCTAGAGTGGAAATCAGTGAC